TGGAATTAGTGGGTCATATGGCGGTTCTACTTTTAATCCTTCAAGGAACCCCCATACTGTATCCATAGTGGCTGTGACAATTTCCGTTCCCACCAAAAGTGCACAGCGATCCCTTTTCTTCACATCCTTGCTACCACTTCTTATTTCTTTTTGATAATAGCCATTCTAACACGTGTGAAATGATAGTTCATTAGGTTTTGATTTGCATTTCCCTGATGATTAGTGATGTGGAGCGTTTTTTCATGTGTCTCTGGACCATCGGTATCTTCTCTTGGGAAAAATGTCTATTCAGATTTTCTGCCCCTTTTTAAAATTGCTTTTTTAAACATTTTTTGCTATTCAGTTATGTGAGTTCTTTATATATAATTTTTTTATGGTAACCCTTTGTCAGGTATGTGATTTGCACATATTTTCTCTCCAGTAGGTTGCCTTTTTGTTTCATGGTTGGTTTCCTTTGCTGTGCAGAACATTTTTAGATTGATGTGGAACACTTAACTTATTTTTGCTTTGTTGTCTTGCTTTCTGTGTCAAATCCAAAAACACCATTGTCAAGACTGTTGTCAAGGAGCTTACCACCTATTTTCTTCTAGGGTTTTTGTGCTTTCAGGTCTTTTAAGTCTTTTGTCCATTTTTATGATTGGTGTAAGATAATGGTTCAGTTGCGTTGTTTTTGCCTGTGACTGTCCAGTTTTCCCCATACTGTTTTCTGAAGACACTGTTCTTTCCCCATTGGATGTTCTTGGCTCTTTTGTCTTCTCTTAGTTGACCATACATACATAGATTTCTGGGCTCTCTGTTCTGTTCCACTGATCTGCATGTCTGTTTTGATTACAATTGCTTTGTAATATGGTTTGAAATTGGACCATGATGCTTCCAGCTCTGTTCTTCTCAAGATTGCTTTGACTGTTCATGGTCTTTTGTGATTCCATACAAATTTCAGGGTTGTTTGTTGTATGTCTTGGTAAATGCCATTGGAATGTTGATAGGGATTGCATCGAATCTGTTGAATGCTTCCAGTAGTATGGACATTTTAACGATCTACATTCTTCTAATCCATGAGCATAGAATATCTTTACATACATTTGCGTCTTCAGTTTCTTTCATCAGTTTCTTACTGTTTTCATTGTATGGGTCTTTCACTCCTGTGGTTAAACTTCCTCCTAGTTTAATTCTTTCTGATGCAATTGTTTCTTAATTTTGGTTTCTGCTAGCTCATTATTAGCGTATAGAAATGCAACAGATTTTTGTATGTTGGTTTTGTATCTTACAGCTTTACTGAAATCATTTAGTCTAACCGTTTTTTGGTAGAGTCTTTAGTTTCCTGTATTTAATATGCCGTCTGCACATGGTGACGGTTTTACCCCTGTTTCCGATTCGGATGCCTTTAATTTCTTGCCTGATTGCTACTTCTTAATCTTTCGGTGCTAAGGCATTAACTGTTGACTTCCCACTGTGGATGATGGGGAATCAGCCTTCTTTCTTCCTTGCACCTTTTATCATACATGCACATACGTACTTTCTGCCCTCTACAACTTCCTAATTGTTGGGTGATGTAGCTATTGGAGTGTTTACGTTACTATGACCGTATAGGTCATTCTGAGCTTATTTTTCTCCGGTTTCGTTTCCCTCCTTTTCTTTTGGGTCATTTGCCATTAGTACAAACAAATCTTAATCTCTCTCTCGAACTCTTCCTAGACCTCCATAGTACCCCATTTCTGTGCCTCTTCGTCACAGCAAAACTCCTTGACCAGGTTGTCTGTCCTGTCTTGCTCTCCTTCCTGCCGCCCCATCCTCTCTACTACTGCTGGCTGCTCCAGTCGGACTTTCGTCTCTGCCACTCGGTCGAGAAGACTTTCGTCACTACTGAGCACAAATGGCCTACACCTTGCCAAGACAAAAATTAAATCTAAGTTTGCGTCTTACTCAGCCTTTCCTCGGCTTTTGATGTGTTCGACCTCTCCCTCCTCGAAACACTTCTTCACTTGGTTTCTGGGATTCTGTGCAGACCTAATTTTCTTCCTGTGGCATTGGTCATTCCCTCTGTGTTTCGTGTGCTGATTGCACCCCTTCTTGCAATTTTCCTCTCAAAAATGCTTGCGTGCCCCAGGGCTTTCTCCTGCCCCCTTTTCTTTGCCTTCCTTAGGTAACCTAATCCCTTCCCATGGCTTCAGGCATCAGCTGTTGGCTCCAAAATGTCAAGCTTTGGCCCAGAGCTTCCCAGAACTCCAGACCTAGATGTCCATTTCCCTATTCAGCATCCTCATTTAGTTGTTTAATAAGCATTTGAAGTATTACATGGCCACAGCCAAATTCTAGGGTTCCACTCCCTACCGGATTCTCCAGCCCACTTCCCTGTCCTAGTATAAGCTGTCATGCAGTGGCTCAGGCCAACTATCTGTCAATCTGCCTTGGTTCCTTTCTTCCACATCCAGCCCATCACTACCTTTTGGTTGCCTATTAAAGACCTTTCTGTAATTCCACCTGTCCCACGGCTCCCCTGCCACAACCCTAATGTGATTCCTGCCTAGATTGCCAAGTGCCACTTCCTAACTGGTCTCCTTACTTCCCCCTTTCCCTAATGCATCCACCATCCCTCAGAGTGGTTCTGATACATTAAACCAGATCATTCATTCTGCCGCTTAAAACCTTCCCATGGCTTTGTTATGCCTTGAATTAAACCCAGACCCCTTCTTTGAAGCCTCCTTGATCTGAGCCTTGCCCACCATTAGCCTCAGATCCCCATCTCCCTCCATTTCCTGGGCGTGGTGGGTTTTTCTATGCTGCGTCCTATTTCTTCCATCCCAAGGCCTTTGTTCTTGTTCTACCTCCTTATTGCGGAATGCCTTTCTCCCCCAGTATCCTCCCTCCACCAGCACTTTCTCATTGTTTTGGTTTCAACTCAGATACTGCTTGGGATACAGTGCCGTCCTGATGCAAGCGAAAGCAGCACTTTTACTTCATCACATCCCTTTTTTATCTTCTCCGTAGCACCTCTTGTACCTGAAACTACATTAATATGTTTTCAGAATTTCAGTCTACAATATAATTTCTCCCCTGTATCCTGAGCCCTTGGAACAGTATCTGGGACACAGGAGGAATGTTTCCTGACGAGATTCATGAAAAAAGAAAGCAGTGCATTTTGAATGTTTCGTTTACTTTGTATATTCCCATTCTCCATCAGGAAATAGAGAAAAATGATTCCAACTAGGGAACCTTTCATTTGTTTAGGCAGCATTTCAAAGTGCTTTAAATTCCGAGGACATTAAAACTTCCCCTACCGTGTTCACTTATGAGTGTGAAAAAAAAAAAGCCATTGGAGGCAAATTGTATGACTTTGGGATAACCCCTTTATTTTCTCCGTATCTCCTAGATGAGGGTTGGTCACCAGCTTTGTATGAGTGTTATGTGTTGTTTATGTCATAAAGATTTTACATCATCAATCATATTGGGATGTAAAATATTGTTATGGTGTAACAGTTGGCTTTGTGAATGCATTTAACTGGGAATAGAATCAAGTGTGTGACCAGATTCACCATCAAACATGCTTCAAGCTTTTCACTGATTCTTCTCCATATGATATCTTAAAGGGAGGTAATTTTTTACTTGACTTTTGCCGGTCGGTGTAATTTTTAAATTGTTACAAGCTCCGGATGGGTGGGAATATGTTAGTCTAAATAATAAAGGTGGGGAGAAAACCTGGACAGAGAACTTAATAATTTATAGGTAAACAGAACTCTTAAATTATATGTTACTTGGATTTATCTGGCACTTCTGTCGCTGCCAGTGTCAATTTCATTTGATGGCTCTTTGGCTGAAACCCTGTTAGAGTTTCCAGAAAGCTCCCGTGCTTACACCATTTGGCTTTGGAGTTCTAGTGAATGGCCGGCTTCCAGCTCTGAGGAAGTAAGGTCCCAAGAGATCAGGAGAATTTAGCTGGGGAGAGGATAAGTGTGAAGATGGGTATCTGAGCTGCGACAGATCATCTGTGTCTTGTCCTGGCCTTCAGGGGGGCAGGCGTCCGGATGGAAATGAGCAGTCAGACTAGCTCGGATTGAACGAGGTGCATTGAGACCATCATGTGTCCTGCAGATGATTTTCGGTGTTTTTTTTTTTTTTTTTTTTTTTTTTTTCTTTTTAGCAAGTCGGGTAAAGTTTCCAAATTGGCAGGTTCCTCTGTCCCTTCTTCCTTGCCCCATCTCTAGGACTCAGTGTTTTCCTGTATTCTCCATATAATTGCTTACACTCGCCTTTCCAACATTTTTGTCCTAAACTTCTTTCTCTTTCCAGTTGGGTTTGCTGAGGCTGTCTCAGGTTGTGGACTCTAAGTTATAAAAGAGAGGCCTTAAGCTCCCCAGAAAGAATCCTTCTAAATAGGTGTTTAGCCCTCAAATAAGAAGGCATGTGTTTTGCACAGGTGCCTTACCTGTCCTTAATTTTTTTTTTTTTACACCTTATTTGCGTTTATTTTTGGGGACAGAGACAGAGCACAGGTGAACTGGGAGGGCAGAGAGAGGGAGACAGAATCAGAACAGGTCTGCCTGGGAGAGCCATCAGCTCCCAGAGTCCACGGGCTCCGGAACTCACGACTGATCGTGACCTGTAGGAAGTCGACGCGACCATGCTACCCAGGCGCCCCCACAGGTGCCTTTTTAAAGCGTTTCCCCACCTACACTGGACTTTTGTCATGTGCATGGACTGACTCTCAGTATTGACCAGCCTGTCACAACATGGCTAGACATACCACACAGCTGTTCCTCTTTGCTCAGGTTCAAAACCAAGGAAGGAACAGAGGAAGAGCTAGGATCATGGCTGCACACGAAATACTCAAAAGTGAAAATACGTGATTCAAGGGGGAGAAGAGACTCTCACACGCTAATTTATTCCTCCTGATCTTCAGGAAGTCTTTATGTATTGAGTTCTGGGTCCAGTGGTTACAGGCCTAGAATACAGAATCTTGTTTGATTTCATCCATAATACCCTCCGCATCTCTATTTTAACAGGGCAGTCCTGTACTGCATCGAAATGTTAATTCTTTAAGAGAGCGAATGTCTGCCTTCCAGTCAGCTTTTCACTGCATAAAGGAGAATGAAAAAATGACTGACTTTCCCGAAGTCTCAGAGGCAGAAGGAGAAGTCACGACAACAGGCTTGAGTGAGTAGAAGGAATTCAGTTTGGACTTCTGTGTTGATTCAGACGAGCCTCTGAGGTATAAAAAAGATGGCGTTCCACAGTGTGAAGGCAGTCTTTTCTGAGCAGAGCTCGGTATTTTTAAATGGAGCCTAACACTTAAAATTTGGGAAATTTCACACAAAAATTTAGATTTCTGGTTTGTCTTGGAAAAAACTTGCTATCAGGCATTCCTGAGCCTACGTCTCCACATGGCCGCGATTAAGTTTTAAGTGTTAACATGTCAGAGCCAGTTAGCTCGTTTCATCTTCAGAATAAGGCATGTGGCAAATGCGAGCGTTCAACCCGTGATCTTTAGAGGCTTATTATTAAGTTTGGCAAGCATTTCTACGAATGCCAAACACCGAACCCCGATATTATAAACAGATAGATCTAATCTGACATCTTAATAGCCTGTCACATTCTTTACCATAACTTTAGGTTGTAATTCATTTGGTTATTTTTGCCTGTCACTTTTGATTTTCCAATCACAGAGCATTTGAAACATCAGAATTAGACAAAATCTTGGCATTGGCGTAATCATCACAGCCATTCCTCTGGTGCTTTGCACTCTAAGGTTCCAGATGATTTGGTTTTGGTTTCTCGAACCACCTTCGAGCACATTCCAGCACCTCCCCATGTGCAAGACACATCCAGTTCATCTGCCTGACCCACTCTGCTGCACCCGTTTATATTTGTAGTTTGTAACTTACCTGCTTTTCTCTTGTGACCTGCATTTGCAAATATTTTACAGCCATGATTGCTGTAGTTCTGCAGACGATTAAATTCACTTTTTGTATCTAGGAAGAACAGAGGCACATTGTGTCCGGGCTTTTCATAAAATCTTACGTAGTCAAAGCAGAACCAGTGTTAGAACATAACCACATCCTTTAAAATGCTCTAAAGGAAAGGGTCCATCGTAAACTTTAAAATAGAGTGAGATACTATAACAGACATGGAAATGTGTATTAATGTATTTTAGTACCTTTTTAAAGTCTAGAAGAAAACTCTAGTAATGTTTGTTATCCTTTTAGTAGTGACGTTCTCTTGCCTTACAGTTAGATTTCTCTCCTGAATAGAAAAATGTCCTTCTCACTGGCAAAGTGTTTAGGTTCAAGCGTTACATTTTACTAAAATCATTATCGACGAAATTTTAAAACGATACAGGAAAAGAAAAATATTTATGCCTGTGTTAATGTTTTTATTTTGTATACGTAGCCAAAAAGGAAAGGCTTGGGCAGTGTCCACAGTTTGAGTTCTCTGCAGATTTATCTTCCAAACGTCGAAGGATATCCTCTCAGAGCAACTCTGATGAAAATCTCCCTGACGCAGTTGATCTCCAGATATCCCGTAGAGCCCCTTCTCCTAATACAGGCACAATGTGTGCTGTTGAAACTTCTCCTGCAGATTTTTCTGAGGTAATTCACTTACTAGAATCATAGGAAAATGAAGCTTTGGTTTTCTGGCTAGGCGGTTTTAAGACTGTCCGAACCCTTTTTCAGTTATGGTACCTTGTACTTCTATACCGCAGCTGAGTTTTAAATTGCACTCTGTGTGTGTGTGTGTGTGTGTGTGTGTGTGTGTGTGTGTGTGTTTCCTACTTGCTAAATTTTTGTTGTTGTTGGCTTAATGGTTATTAGACAGTTTTGATTAATATGTTGCTTTTGGTTACAGAAAAACATTTTATGAAAGTATTAAGCCTTCTGGTCTTCTGCTTGCGAGGAATTGTTCTAGATACTGGTGGTACCACGGTGAGAAATCACAGTCCTGCCCTTGAGCAGCTTTTCGACTGCTGGAGGAGGCAGACGTAGGAGCATATTATTTTACACGTAACTGGCGAATGAGTTGAGGGTTATATATGGGCTGTGCAGCTCAGGTGTGGGGTCTTACTGCCACCAATAAGTGGCACCAATAAGTTGAACTGCCACCAATAAGAATTAGTGAAGAATTAGTGAAATATTTCCAATTAAACCTAACTGGTTTAATACCGGCTGGGAAGCAGGCTGCTGTTTAGCTGCCCTTTGCTCTGCTTACTTCTTCCAAGTAGCTGGAGGGATTTTTGTTGCTTATAACTACTTAAAACCTGTCAAGATGATCAAAAGACGGTAAGCAGTGTGAAATAATACTATTGAAGATCCTTGACCTTCACTCACACGTAGACAGGAAGCTAGTTAGCTCATCACTGGCTTTCCTTGCTTTAGTTGTGCTGTGATACAGCAGGTTCCCATATCTTCAGTGAGAGGAGACACCTGACACCATTAGAGCTGGAACATTCCTGGCACCTTCTCTGTCACGTAGATTCAGTGCATCTCCTTTCGATCTTATCTGGACCCGCATAATGAATGTTTGATAGTCATTAAAGATTCTTCAGGGTCCAGTAGGTTTCATTTGTATCTTGGAGTCACTTACAATCTCTGCTCCCTCTGCTTTTTCCTCCCGGATATGAAATCATCGTCTGACAGAACCAGTCGTTTCTCATCAGAACTTTGATTGTTTGGACATACACCACAATTTAGAAATGGTTTCCACATTAATATGAGTGTGTTTTCTGTCCTAGCCATTGATGGTTTTCCTAGCCTAGCTATTGATATCCTGTTGTTTGATTAATAATTATATAACATCCTGCGTTAATTTTGAGAATTTTCTCTTTAGAATCAGTTAATACGGTTTTGTAGACTTCAAACAATAAGGCAACAAAAATGTGTCCCATAAACTTTTACTAGGGAGCTGAAATTTGTTTGGTAGGATGTTTAGGCTGCAGATGTTTTTAGTTCCATTCCTGTATTTTGTAACAATTAGGCAGATAATGATTGATTGGTTTAACATCAGATTTCCAGATAATCTGTAATGCTTACTCAAATCTTTACAAAGATCTCAGTACTCCTGTAAGTAGTAAGATTTAATATTTCTTTAATTTTTTTTCCTCCCAAGAAATCTTTTGAATCTGGTTTAACGCAGTCTGGATATTTGGTTGAAGAGTCTGTTTCACTTTCAGATCTCACAGAAGCTTCAAGTGGTAAGTGTTTAATCTTTCCTTAATACATGCCAGTTCACCCATTGAAACGTATTGTTCAGTGGATATTTATGTTTCAGCATTTACCTATATGCTGAAATTTGGGAAAACTGAAATGGTGCCCTCCATTTGAGGAGCTCACAGTCTAGTACAAATGTTTTAGAATTCTTGTTATATGAGAGATGACTTTTATTTTTTTTGAACTGCCACCAGTAAGAATTAGTGAAATATTTCCAAGCTGGTAAAATCCATTATAAAAAACAGAATCTCTGAACCCTTAACTAGTGTATTTTGTAAGACAAAACACTGCACATGTTGTTTTTGGTTTTTAAGTTTGTGGAAAGGGACCAGCATTCAAAACTTCCCCCAAATCAGTATGCTTATATTGAGTGAAAGTTACCTGTAAGGTATTAGGTTTACTTTCAGCCTACCTGTGTCTTGAAATCTTTTTTTTTTAATATTTGTTTATTTTTGAGAGACGGAGAGGGACAACATGACCAAGGGAGGGGCAGAGAGACAGGGAGACACAGAATCTGAAGCAGGCTCCAGGCTCTGAGCTGTCAGCACAGAGCCCATCGCAGAGCTTGAACTCATGAACCACAAGATCATGACCTGAGCAGAAGTTGGATGCTTAACTGACTAAGCCACCCAGGCTCCCCTGAAGTAAAGCTTGTACATACATAGTTAGGTCTTGCTTTTTTATCTATTCTGAAAAACCCCTTCTTTTCCATGGGAGTGTTTGGCCCATTAGCTTTTCAAGTCATTATTGATACGGTTTGATTTAAATCTACCTTTTTTGGGGGACACCTGGGTGGCCCAGTCAGTTCAGCATCCGACTCAGTTTCGGCTCAGGTCATGATCACACGGCTTCCTGGGTTTGAGCCCCCCATTAGGCTCTGTGCTGGCGGTGTGGATTCTGTCTCTCTCTCTGGCCCTCCCCCACTTATGCTGTCTCTCTCTCAAACTTAAAAAAAATTTTTAAATAAGTAAATAAATACCATTTTTTCACGCGTATTCTCTTCTGCTTTTTGTTCCTCTGTTTCCCTTTTGTCTTTCTTGAGTATATTTGAAATCTCCTTTTTGGAAATCCATTTATTCAGTACCTTTTATCTGTTTTCAATATTAAAAAAATTTAAAAAAATGTATATGTATAAGTGTATATATTACATATACATATATACATATTATGTATATACATATTATACATAGTATACACACATGCATATATATATATATTATATATATACATATGTTATTATATGTATGTATATGCATGTATACACGTATACACATATATAGGTGTATATGTATACATGTATATATGTATACATATATACATATAAAGTGATCTCTAGTCCTAACATGGGGCTTCAACTCACAACCCCAAGATGAAGAGTTGCATGCTTTACAGAGCCTGCCAGGCGCCCCTATCCATTACCTTTTAAACTCACCTTGTTGCATCTTTTTTGTTCATAGTTACAATTGTAATACACATCCTTAACCTTTCACAGTCTACTTAGAATTAATACTGATAACTTCAGGTAAAAGACAGTACATTATGTTGATTTATAAGAAATACAAATTGGTACAATGGATTACTACTTGGCAATGAGAAGGAATGAAATCATGCCATCTGTAGCAACGTGGATAGAACCAGGAGGTATTATGCTGAGTGAAATTAGCCAGAGAAAGACAGATATCATATGTTTTCATTCATATGTGGATCTTGGGAAACTTAACAGAATACTGTGGGGGAAGGGAGGGGGAAAAATAGTTACAAACAGAGGGAGGGAGGCAAACCCCAAGAGACTTCTTAAATACAGAGAACAAACTGAGGGTTGATGGCGGGGCAGGGGAGGGGAAAACGGGCGATGGACATTGAGGGCAATTGTTGGGATGAGCACTGGGTGTTGTATGTAAGCGATGAACCACGGGAATCTACCCCCAAAACCAAGAGTACTTTACACACTGTATGTTAGCCAATTTGACAATAAATTATATGTATTAAAAAAGAAAAGGACCCTGGCCTATAGTCCTTGGACATTCACTTTCAAATGGAGAGCTTTCCTCCTATTCCTCCTTTCTAATCTTATGGTCTAATAAACTTTTGCCTGCTGCTCAAAAAAAAAAAATGAAGAAGAAATACATGTTGGTTATCTACATGACTATTCATTGAATGAGTAAATATTTGGATGACCAAATATACATCCTTCAGATAAATTTGGTGTTCATCCACAGTTCCTAAAAATACTTTAAAGCCATGAAGGTGACATGGGTGTCTTATTACTAATGAAGGTGGCTTTTGGACCCCACCCAGTGGCAGGAGCTGGTTTTTGGGCGGACCAGCCATGTGATTGGAGGGTTCAGCCCCGCCCCCTGATCTCTGAGGAGAGGAGAGGGGCTGGAGGTTGAATCAGCCAGTGACTTCATCAGTCATGGCCATGTAATGAAAACTCCATAGAAACTCAAAAAGACAAGGTTCAGAGAGCTTCCGGGTTGGTGAACATGTGGAGATGTGGGTACCTCACCCTATGTTCTCTTCATCTGGCTGGTGATTCGTATCCTTCATCATTTCCTTCAATAAACTGGTAAACATAAGTGTTTCCTTGAGTTCTGAGCTGCTCTGGCAAATTCAGAGAACATAAGGAGTAGGTCCCGAGAGCCTCTTGATTGATAGCCACGCTGTCAGAAGTGGAGGTCACAATCTGGACTCGTGACTAGCATCCAAAGTCTAAGGAGGAAGTTGTTGGAACCTCTGGTCTGTAGCAGGTGGGTCAGAGGCACAGGAGACAGCCCAGGATTTGTGACTGGCATCTTAAGTGGGAGATGGGGGATGCGCTTGTAGAACTGAGCCCTTCACCTCCAGAAGCTGATGCTGTCTCTGGATAGTGTCAGAATTGGGTTGAATTCTTAGACACCCCGCTGGTGTCTGAGAATTGCTTGCTGGTGGTCTGTCTGGGGGATTCCCTTCCCCCCATGTTAGAATTGGGTCCCGGAACCTGAATAGAGTTGGTGTTAGGGGAGATAGAAGCTTTACCTACTGTATAGATCTGTTTCCTATCTCCCCACCTGTGTCTTTTATGGTACTTGACACTATAGATACCCTCTGTATTTAAATCCCACAATATTTTTGCTTTCACCAATCCTATATATTGGGAGCAGAATCTTCTCTGGTTATCCTGATAGCTATCATTTCTGATGTTCTCCATTCCTTGCTGAGGATCTAAGTTTCCCTCTGGTATCATTTACCTTCAACCTGAAAAAGAACTTCCTTCAGCATTTCTTGTAATGTATGTCTTCTCTGACTTAATTTGAATCATAACATGATGGCTGAGGCACAGAGCGGTGTTAGATTTTGTAAAAGGGGATAGAAAATACTTAGAGGAGAGCTCGCAGAGGAGAACCCACATGATACCTCCATGATCTCCTTGCCTTCTCCACCCTGTTTTACCCACCTTGCCGGAGATGCAGCCCGTGAATCTGCCTTCCTACTCTGTTCTGCCCTCCATATATCTGAGATGAATTTTATGGACGTTGATAGCCTCACTGGCCGTCCCTTCTGTTCCTTAATCATACCTTCTCTTTTCATTTAAGTTTCCAACCCTCCTTCCCTTCCCTTTTTTTTTTTTTAAGGTATTTATAATTTATTTCTTACAAAAAATAATTCTTCAGCATAAGTGTGTTTTCTGTGCTGTTTTTCTTTTATATCAACATGCGTACATGTAAATAATTAGCTATCATTCAAAATTTAACTGGGCCTCCTGCGGTTTTATTTGCTAGATCTGGCAGCCCTGCTCACAAATGACTGAGATAAAAGTTCCCTGGTGCCCCTTCGTCGTCTGTGGCTTCTATTGACAGGAAAAGGAAAGATGTCAGAAGCAAATGGCCTGGGCCACTCACCACCACACCCTCCTGCCTCTCTGAACAAGCATGCCCCCCGCCCCTTTCCTCCTGTTATGGTAGATCCTCTGGGCTCTTATCTAAGGCCAACCCCTTCAGTATGGTCCCTTCCCTCTTTGAGGACCTTCTGCATGAAGTGTCCCCTCTTTTCTGAGTTGTTCATTTTTCCCATTAACATGCAACGCGCTGTAGTATCTCCCATCTTAAACCGGCCTTTGTCCCGGGGTTTCCTTTCAGCCAGAACCCCATTTCCTTGTTTTCCTCTGTAGCAAAGCTCCCTTTTTTAAAACAAAAAAAATTTTTAATGTTTATTTATTTTTGAGAGACACAGAGCATGAGTGGGGGAGAGGCAGAGAGAGAGAGAGAGACAGAATCTGAAGCAGGCTCCAGGCTCCACATTGTCAGCACAGAGCCCAACGCGGGGGCTTGAACTCACAAACTGCAAGATCATGACCTGAGCCCAAGCCGGCGCTTAACCAACTGAGCCACCCAGGCGCCCCAATGTACCAAAGCTCCCTTAAAAGAACAGGCCGGGCCTGTCCCCTCGCCTCCCATTCTGTCTCGATGCAGCTCCAAATGGGCCTCGGTAACCAGTAGCCTCTTCATTGCTATCCCAGTAGTCACTCTCCATGTACCCTCTCCTTGGCGTCTCAGCATGGCAGGCAGAGCTGACAGTGTCCTCCTGTGAGAAACCATTTCTTCACTGGGCATCGGGACTTCATTCCCTCTTGCTTCCCCCTATTTCCCTGGCCATTTCCTATTTGTCTGTTTTCTTTATTCCTTCTCTTCCATCCTGACCTTTAAACATTTGAATGCCCTGGGTTCAGTGCTCCCGACTTCTCTCCACACTCGCTTCCCTAGGTGAGTGTAGGCATTCCCACCATCTTGAATGCTGTCTCTGTGCTGCTGACTTCAAAATTTCAATACCTGTCCTTGGTGTCCTCCCTGAACTCTAAACCTAAGTGCTCAGCTGCCTTTTCTGGTCTCCACATGGATGTCTAATAAACATCTCGGACTTAACATACTCAAACGGGTCTTAACTGTTTCTCCTTCCGGAGACTGCTCATCTGTTTGTTTGTTTCGGTTTTTTTTTTCCATCTCCGTAAACAATACTGACCATTCACCCAATTGGCTTGTGTCAAAAACCTTGACATTACCTTGACACCTCCCTTTCAAAAGTTAAACTTGAGTGTGGTTAACAAATGCTGTTGGCTTTATCTTGACAATATATCAAATGCCTAACCATCTTCCACCTCCTAAGTATCATCACTGTGGTCCAGGCTACCGCCTTCTCTTGCCTGGATTGTTTTGTCTCCTCTGTGATTTCCCTGCTTCCATCTCTGTCCCCCTCCCTCTTTGGAATCTTCTACACGGTGGGCAGGGTGCTCCTTTTAAAATGACAGTTACACTATATCATTCCTCTTCTCAAAATCTTTCATTGACCTCCCGCTGTACCTAGAATAGTAGCCAGCCCACACCCGGCCTGGTCAGTCCTTAGCCTTCTCTTGGAAGCTTCTTATCTCTCTTCTCCTTGCTCAGGCTGTTCCAGCCACACCGGCCTTGTTGTCCCTCTAGTGCGTCAGGTACGTTCTTATCTCGGATCTTCGCACTTGGCTTCATGCATGTAATGTTCTTCCCTAGATGTGTGCGTGGCTCACTTCGTCCCTTCACCCAGATGCCTGCTGGATCCCTGAGACACCTCAAAACAGCAGCTCCCCCCTCCCACCATATCCTGCCTTATTCCCTTAACTTCTACATCATTTCCTTTAAAGGCCTAAATTACTACTTGTCATTATCGAAACATTTCTTTAACCTTATCTCTTTATTTGGAGATGACTGTAGAGTCGCTTGCAGTTGTACGAAATAATGTAGACATCCGGTGTCCACCCTCCCCAGTGTCCCCCAGTGGTGACATCTTGGGTAGCAGTAATATGGTGTCACAACCAGGAAACTAACACTGATACAATCCACTGACTTTTCTTCAGATGTCACCAGTCTGACTTGCACTCATTTATGTGTATATTTAGTTCCATGTAATTTTAACACGTGGGGAGACTCATGTGGCCACACTGCCTTCAGTCAAGATAGAGAACCGTTCCAGCAAAGGGAACCCTCATGCTGTGCTCCCCCTTTCGTAGCCATAGCTTCCTCTCACCTTCTACCCCTCCCAGATCTTTTATACTGTCTATTTGTTCCCCAAAGTGTGGGAGCTTTATGTGGGTTTTCATTTTGGTTTTGGTTTTGGTTTTAGGTTTATTTTGAGAGAGAGTACATGCGAGCAGGGGCGGGGCAGAGAGAGAGAAAATCCCAAGCGGGCTCCACACTGTAAGCATGGAGCCTGAGGCAGGGCTCGAACGCATGAACCGTGCGGTCATGACCTGAGCCGAAACCAAGAATTGGGACGTTTAACCGACTGAGCCACCCAGGTATCCCGGGGGCTTTGTGTGTTTTATTCATTGTTGTAACTCTAGCACCTAGAAAGGAGTGCCTGTCATGTCTAGGTCTAGCACCTAGAAAAAAGGGCCAACATGTTTGTTAAATGTGGGTCATAAAGAAATACTCCCGTGAGAAACAAACTTTGCAGGAGGAAGCTTTGCCTTGTTTGCAGGCACACACAACATATAAATGTTTTGATTTGATAATCTTTCCTCTTCTCATCCCATCTTCTCCCTCCCACCACCCTTGCATCCTGAGATACCTCTGACTCCAGCAGTAAAATTGGTCCTCAGTCGTTGTTCAACTCAGGTTAGTTTTATGGTGTAAGTCTTGGGTGTTGTGAGTGAAGGCAGGCTAACAGTCAGTCGCTCTGTTTTGCAAGCACCGTCTTAGATTCGTGGGAGCCAAAACTCTTCACTTACCTTTACCCTCAGTAGTTAGCAAGTTGTGACCATTGCCACTTCTCTGTCTTCTTTTTATATATCCAAATGAAATTCCAGATATCATTCCCCAAGCAGGATATATTAGGGTCAAATTTCTTTCTTTCTTTCTTTCTTTCTTTCTTTCTTTCTTTCTTTCTTTCTTTCTTTCTTTCTTTAAGTTTCTTTATTTATTTTTGAGAGAGAATGAGTGCGGGGCAGGGGCAGAGAGAGGGGGAGACAGAGAATCCCAAGCAGGCTCCACGCCGTCATTGCAGAGCCCAACGACCCCACACAGTCGATCCCCTGACCGTTAGATCACAACCTGAGCTGACAGCAGGAGTCGGGCATTTAATCGACTGAGCCACCCAGGCGCCCCTAGGGTGGAATTACTTGTAGCACGTTATTATTCTCTTTGCAAATACATGATGTTTTTGGTGTGGAACAACCTGATTCAGATGTCTTCTACGTCTCTTGTTTACGTGTTTACTCGGAAGGAGTCAAGGTTGCTGAGTGTGTAGAGGGTGAAAGATCAAGTGTTGCTGTTTCCCTTGACAACTTGACGGAAGTGAGCACAGACACCACTCCTGAAGGCAGGTCACTGGTCACTCCACTCTGCAAGAGGGACGTTGCATCCTCTGAGACCTTCGTACTTCGTTCGGTGCTAAAGAAACCCTCTGTTAACCTGTTTCTAGAAAGCCTCCAGGTAAGTTGAGAGCTACTTGTCCTAAAACGAATGGAATAAAAATTCATTTTGGTTTAAAACAGCACGAGAAATCTGATGTTAAAATCCAGGCTGCAGGCGCCTGGGTGGCTCAGGCTGAGCCTCCGACTTCGGCTCAGGTCATGATCTCACGGTTCTTGGGTTTGATCCCCGCGTCGGGCTCTGTGCTGACAGCTCAGAGCCTGGAGCCTGCCTTGGATTCTGTGTACCCACCTCTCTCTGCCCCTCCCCCCACCCATGCTCTGTCTCGCTCCGTCTCTCAAAAATAAATAAATGTTAAAAAAACAAAAAAAAAAAAATCCAGGCTGTAAATGCTGTGAGAAGTTTGAATGGCTGGGCTCTGGAGTCCAGGTGCCCGGTTTCAAACTCTGACTCTGAAGTTTAAGAGCTGGGCAAATTCTGTAACCTTTTTTGTACCTTGGTTTCATCTCTGCAAGGATGGCTAATTTGAGCAGAGGAAGTGGAATAATAATAGGAAATTAGCACCAGTGCCCGGCAAACGAGAGGTAATTTTTTTTCCAATCCGTACGCATTTAAATATATACCCATGCCTACACATCTCTTTCTTTTCTGTTTTCTCTTTTAAAGTTTATTTATTTATTTTTGAGGGAGAGGGCGCGTGTGTGCCCGCAAGTGGGGAGGGGCAGAGAGAGAGGGAGACAGGAGATCGAGAATCCCGAACTCAAGAACCGTGAGATCGTGACCTGAGCCGAAATCAAGAGCCAGACTCTTCACCGACTGAGCCACCCAGGCGCCCTGCCTACACATCTGTTTCTAAAGCCAAAGTAAAGTAGTACCTTCTATTTACAGACGTAGTTATGGTCAGTGGTTATTTAACTGTTTAACAGTTTTTCTGGTTGAAGAGCTCTATACAGGGCTGCTTATTCATATCCTATGTATTTGGTTTCTTTTCAAACAGGCTTAGCATCTTCATGATCCTTATAACTCTTACTGATTAACGACGTTACGTAGCAAACATCCAGTCCTACCACGAAAATTATGTGAAGATTTTTATAATTGATCTTTTTACTAAGCTCTCCAAAGTTTGTAGGTGTATACACTTTGAGTTGTTTGCTAATTTTCACGGTTGTTTTGATTATAAACAAATGTAAAACTTCACAAGAATTTTATTTTCTAAGTTCACTTATTTCACAAATAATGGGCGTTTTCCTGGTCAGGAAAATGAAATGGACTTGAGAGACAGTTGCTCAAGGAGGGTTGTTTGGGGGCAGGGCATTTGCTTAGAGAAGGAGGGGCTTTTGGAATGGGTGCACTGGAGAAAATGAACAGCTCTAGAGAACAAGGACTGGTCCAGGGTTTGGGAAGCAGATGATGGTTTGGAGGTGACTCATGCAGCCCACGGCCCTGGCGCTCCCCTGCTTCCCTCCAGTGGCCCTGTGTTGAGTTTTGCCTTGTTTGGTGATTCAGGACTTGCGCTGTCCCTTCCTCACGAACTCTATAATCTCTTGGGGAAGCAGAGAGGGACAGATACTACCTTCTTTCCTTGCTCCTAAATCAGGAATATAGTAATGGGGACAGGAGATTTACACACTTAAAAAAAGTCTGTTTCCCATACTTAAGAGACAAAACACCCTATTATGCCATTCACCTGTTTTCTTGTTTTTGTGCAATTTTTACACCTATAGTTAGCCTGATCTGACACCATCCATAGTACATCATACCTCTAGCCACTCATATTTTCCTTAACTTCATTTGCTAGATTAAAAATGATGGAATGCGGGGCGCCTGGGTGGCTCAGTCAGTTAAGCGGCCGACTTCAGCTCAGGTCACGATCTCACGGGGCTCATGAGTTCGAGCCCCGCGTCGGGCTCTGGGCTGATGGCTCAGAGCCTGGAGCCTGCTTCCGATTCTGTGTCTCCCTCTCTCTCTGCCCCTCCCCCGTTCATGCTCTGTCTCTCTCTGTCTCAAAAATAAATAAAACGTTAAAAAAAAAAAATTAAAAAAAAAATAAAAATGATGGAATGCATTCAGCCCATGTTATGGATTTCTGTTCTTTAATTTTCTCCTAAAATACGATTTACTAAAGTAATATAAAGAGAGTCCAGGTTTTCTTGTGGCTAATGTCACTAAGCCAGAACAGTTATGAAAGCAAATGTAATCTGCGACACTACATAGTATTTATTACCTTTGGCAGAAGAAAGTTCAAAGTGACCATTCCTAATGACTGTGAGTGTGCATTTATATGCGTAAAATTATTCATTGATGTTTATTTTGTTTAGGAACACTGTGACAATCTCTGTGATGACAGGACTCATCCGAGCTTAATCTCAAATCTTGCAAACTATTGCAAAGAACAAACAACAGGTAAGAAATCCACACTTATTTGGAAGCCTGAGGATACCATTTTCTTGTAAAACTCTGTGCTAGTATGTGGTATTTTCAATGATCTGCTAAATGCCTCGATGCTTTGGAAATTACATGGGAATGAACAGTTGGTTGGAGTCTCAGAATTGGTCTGTTCATTTCATCTGCCCGTTTGTACTTAATGGTAACACTTAAAGGAAATTAATATTCCAATTTTGTAAACTTCCAAGATACTCATGCAAAATTTACTTTAAAATCTATTACTGTATTGTAATTAGAAATACTGCTTACCTTCTCCATTTTGAATTTTTTTTCTCTACAAACAGTATTTACTATTATACAAATAATAGCTGCTAAAAGATTCTAGGATACGTACTTTAGATAAGAAATGTAGCCTAATTTTTTATCTACCCATTCATTCTCTATAGAAGGTCAAGAAAATTGTAAAGTGCCAGCCTTTCTAAATGTCAGGAAGAGGAAGAGAGTTACTTTTGGAGAGGATCTAAGCCCTGAGGTGTTTGATGAGTCTTTGCCAGCAAATACTCCGTTGCGTAAAGGAGGAACACCCGTTCGCAAAAAGGATTTGAGTAATGGCAGTCCCCTGCCGCTCGAGCAATCACCAGTTCCTGCACAGTTATCACAACCAGATTTTGATGACAAGGGGGAGAATCTTGTAAGTGTGCAAAGTGTGGAGCAAACTTGTTTATATTTTCATCAGACCTCACCTGTTTTGTGTGAACAGTAATTATGCTTTGAAATCATGAAATGGACTAGATGTGTCATGGTATAATTTAATGCACTTGTATAGGTAGGTTCCCCCCCACCGCCCTGCCCCGCCCCATCCTGTGCTCATCCCGACAAGTGCATGGGTTATTCTCTGCTGTCTCCTACTTGCAGGGTTCCTTGTACATAGAATGTTTCGTGGAGCTGAAATACTGTGGACTGTAGGGTGTACCGTTGCTTTATGTATCACCAGGAGAGAAGGCTAGACCGTAAGCTCTGACGCCCCATGAATTTGTAAGATGCGCTCAGATTTCAGAGGAGGAAAGATGTGAAAGAGCACCAGTCTTAGAACTGATATGCTGTAAATATACACTTGTTTCCTTCAGCTGAATTTCTGTAGGGAGAATTACTGGATGAAAGAAGAGGAATGCGTTTCACCTTTTTGATACATATTGGTGAACATCCAGAAAGTGTACCAGTCTGGACTCAATAGCAGTATAAATGGTTTTATTTTACCATACTCTGTAAACCCTGGGTATTAACTGTACTTTTTTTAATAGCTTAATGGAAAAAGATGACTTGAAAACTTCTAGTTTTTACTAGTGAGGTTTGAACATTTTTCATACGTTTGTGAGCCATTTGAATTTCTTCTCTAGAGAATTGCCTGTTTTTATATTGGGACCATCATTCGTTCTCTCCCTGGCCTATTACACTTTGAAATAAGAATACTCCACTGTCAGCCAAGATGGAGTCAAAGGGACCTGATTTATGTTTTCATAAGAAACAACTAAAAGAAAAACCCCCCAGAAAACACACAGAACAGTGGTTCTCAGACATTGAACATCAGGAAGCATAGGATAGTAATCCCTGAGAGAGGGGAACAAGTGAGGCAAGCTGTACGAGAGCCCCAATTTACTGCCTGGGCTGGACTGCCAGGCCACTGCACAGGAAGGGCTTCCCTTGGCGGAGCCTGGTGGTCTCCGTGAGTTGAGGGGATGGGAGTTAGGGTCTGGGAAAGTGTAGGAGGCTAGAGCTTATAGCAGAGTACCAGAGAGGAGAGAGCTGCACAGAGAGCTTTGGAGATCTGCAAAGGGTCTCACTTGAATCTGTAGCTGAGCACTGGTCACCATGAACTTGTAAGTAAACTGCCCGAGGCCAGGGAAATGACTACCCAGATGGAACAGAGGGAACAATCCCTAGGGTTCACAGAGGGGCAGTAGTAGTGTTCCCAGCAACCTGAGTGGTAGAAAAACCTTATAATTCACAGCACATCAGACACTCAGGAGAGTATTGCCTCACTAGTAGAACAGAATTAGATGAAAAGCCTAGCAGAGTTTAAAAGCTTTGAAAGGATACCACTTTTCTCCAAGTAACTTTACTGCATTGTCTAACAAAGATCAAGAATAGCAAAACTATCCAGTGTCAAACAGTGTTACCTTCAAAATGTCTGACATTCAATTAAAAACTAATAGATGTGTAAGAAAAGGTGCCCCCATAATAAAGAGGAAAATCAATCAATAAAAGTAGACCCGGAAATTACACATATGGTAGAATTTATAGACGGAGGCATTGAAAGTTTTTTTAATCTATCTTTCCTATGTTCAAGGAGGTGCAGGAAAGATTGAGCTTGTTAAGAACATGAAATATAGAAAAGATCCAACTTGAACTCTGAAAATTATAATCTCTGGGAAGAAAATTAGGTTGAATGAGATTAATAGCACATTAGAGACTGCAAAAGAAAAGATTACCAAACTTAAAGGTACAACAATAGAAATTATTTTGCATGAAAGAATAAAAATGACTGAGCAAAAGTGAGCAGTTGGTAAGCTGGGACAACTTTAGGTGGCATAATATACATGTAATTAGAGTCCCAAAGGAGAGGAGAGATCAGACAGAACAGAAAAAAAAAAAAAAAAAAAGTTTGAAACATAATGATGGAAAATTTTCCAATTTGATAAAATGATAAACTCACAGATCCTGAAGTCTAGCAAATTCCCAGCACAGGAAACATGGAATAGTATGCAAAGACACATCATTGCTTAGAATCAGTGATATATGGCCTGCAAGGAACCAGAGTAAAAAGACACATGACATAAAAAACAACAATATGAGAAGCAGTAGACCTCTCATTAGAAACTGTGCAAGCCAGAAGACAACACAGCAGCATCTTTTGAAGACGTACTTAATTACTTGGAGCAAAAAGCCAAATAATAGCAACAACAAAAACTTGTCAACCTAGAATTCTATATCCAGTGAAACTATATTTCAAAACAAAGGTGAAGAACAGGCTTTTTCAGACATATGGAAGCTGAGAGAATTCATTATTGTAGCAGGGTAGCATTAGGGAAGTCCCTTCATCAGGAAGAGAATGGTTCCAGATGGAAATCTAGCAAAGGAATGAAGAGCATTGAAAATGCTATAAACACGTGGGTGAATGTAGCACACTTTAATCTCTATAAAAAATTGTTTAAGGCAAGAATAACTAGTGTATTGTTTGGTTTATAACCTAGTTAGTGAAATATACAACAAAAGTAACATGGTATGGAAGCTGGGAGGGGTTTTTAACCTGGACGCAAAGTGGTGTAAGTTAAAGATGAAACCCTAAACCCTGTAAACCCTAAACAACAAACAAAACAACAACAAGAATGTATGGGATGCACCTAAAGCAGGCTTAGAGGGGAATAAAGCCTGTATTTCAACATAAAGAGACAAATTGGTGATCTCAACTTCCACTTTAAGAAACTGACAAAAGCAATTAAAGCCAAAGTAAGCAGAAGGACTTAATAAAGATAAATGCAGAACTCAGTGAAGTGAAAAAGAAAAGCAATAGAGAAAAGTCGTTGAAATAAAAAGATTATGCCTTAAAACAATAATATGAGTAAACTTGTAATCAGACTGTTCAGGGAAGAGGGAAGATACTCCAACTACCAATATAAGGAATGAGCGGTGACTATACATTCTAACAGTTATTATTAGAAGGCTCATACAGATAAAAGGATAATCAGGAAGTATTATGAAAAACTTACTGCCAATAAATTCAACAATTTAGATAAACTAGACCTATGTCTTGAAAAACACCAACTACCCAGTCTCACTTGAGAAGAAATCCCTTACCTCATCCTCCCTATATCAACCGAAGAAATTGCAGTTGTAGTCAGAACCTTCCCACGTAGAAAACTGCGTGTCCAGATGATTTTGCTACTGAATTCTACCAGACACTTAAGGAAGAGCTCATTCTGCAGACTCTTTCAAACAAATTGAGGAGGTGGGAGTAATTCCCAGTTCATTAATGTCAGCATTAACCTGACACCGTAGTCAGACATTATCTTTTTATTTTTGATTTTTTTCAGTTTTCAGAATTTTTAGGAACTATTTAAAAACACTAGTCACGACTCCATGAATTAAACATGTATTCATTAAATGTAAACATTCCATTCTTTTTTTTCCTTTTAAATATGTATTTCATAATCAGACATTTTTAAGAACACTATAATCCAGTATCCTCATGAACATAATACATAGAGATACTACATCATGACCAAGTGAGATTTAACCCAGAGATGCAAAGTTGGTTTAATATTTGAAAAACAAGCTGTAATGCACCACATTAAACTAGGAAAAGCCATTTCTGGGGAAAACAAAAAAAACCTCTATGCCAAACTAATGATTAAAGACAAGTTTCTTCAAAGTCACAAGTTTTTTTCTATGAGAAACCAACAGCTACCATCATACTAGCAATGTGGTTCTGCATTTATAGTGTCATTTTCTCTGAATTTCCCCTGAATAATATTGAAATGTTAGGTTGTGTTTATTAATGGAATGCCCTATTTATTTTAAAGTTAAGATGTGTGATTTTAAATAAACCAAAGAGTAACTTGTTAGTGGATCATTATGGCTACTTTCACTTAATGTTTAATTTTTATTTGTTGGATTGTAGTTAATAAACATAGTTTCATTAAAGATGGATAAATATTATAAAATGTGTTTATATCTAATATCTTTGTTTGCTTTGACTGTTTCTCTTTTACTGATTTCTCATCTTTATGATTATTACAATTCCACCTACAAAAGTCCTTATTTTCTTTTGGGCACATATGTCCACTGAATTTAAGGATGCCTAATTTCTGCTCTTGTTTTTCTTTGTTCAGGAAAACATAGAACCTCTTCAGGTGTCATTTGCCGTTCTGAGTCCTCTTAATAAGTCTTCAATCTCTGAGACTCTTTCAGGTAGTAACTTTTTTTTTAATCTTATAATCATACAAGTGTCATTTTCAGTATGTGTCAATATGAAACTAAATCTCCTTAATTCATTTTAAAATTTTTATTTTTATTATAATAATGCATGTTTGGTTTAAAAAACCAAATAGTATTGGGGCACCTGGGTGGCTCAGTCGGTTAAGCATCTGACTTCGGCTCAGGTCACGATCCCACGGTTTGTGAGTTCGAGCCCCATGTTGGGCTCTGTGCTGACAGCTCAGGGCCTGGAGCCTGCTTCTGATTCTGTGTCTCCCTCTCTCTCTGCCCCTCCCCTGCTTGTGCTCTGTCTCTCCAAAAAAATAAATAAATAAACATTAAAAAAATAAAAAAAATAAATGGTACAGGAAAGCTTCTAAGAAGCCTCTTGCCCATCCAAGTCTCATATCTTTTAATCACCCACATTGAACTTCCATAGATAGGTAGTGCCATTTTTCAAGTCACTGCAGGCAGTGCAGTTGCCCTCTCAAGTCTTAATTATCAGTAGTAGGCTCCTTTTGTTGAGTGATCTGGATCGTATGGGTCTTTTTTCAGTATCCAGACCTGTTCACCAACATTAACTTGGCCTTTTGGACACATGCACTTTTCAAGGTCTCTGGCTTTTTTATGATCATGATAAGGCAAACCAGGACTTAGATGACAAATGTTATGGGAAAAGCACTTAGGACGGGAACCATTATTCGTGTCTCTCCCCCTTGATCAGAGTCCTTTAGTGGCTTCTCATTAGCTAGACAACACGAACCAGGTTCATGGGTGCAGAATCCAAGACCTGTAGTGCAAACTTAGAGCTAAGCTTGGAAGCATAGTCTATCATATTCTAAAGACTGTGTGCTCTTTAACACACATTATACTTCCTTTCATTTACACCATTAAAAGTGGTCAGATGAAAAATTACTTGAATTTTGTAAATTACAATAGTTATTTTCAGGATCATCTTAATGCCCTCCATTGCAATTTTATTGTACAAAATGTAGCTTGGGATAAATGGATGCCATCAGTGAAAATATGGTATTTCCTATAATATGATTTAATCTGTTATCTTAGGGTAATATGCTGTCTCTGTGGAAAGTGGTGATGGTTTCTGGGTGTTGAGGGAACTTAAAATTTTAAAGCACGTTTTTGAATCTCAAAATTTATTCTTGGTAATTATTTATGCTTAGATACTATGTTATGCTAAAAGCAAAGGTGGGTATCCATAAGAGTACCCAGTGTATCCAGAAAATTACGGCTCTTACGACTTTATGTTAAGCTACCCTAATTTTGCTTGTGTCTTACTCATCAGGCATTGATACCTTTAGTTCTTCAAATAACCATGAGAAAACAGCCTCCCATAAAGTTGGTAGAATAACACGGGCCTCTAACCGAAGAAGTGTAAGTGTTTGTATTTGGCACAGTATATTTGTTTTTAAATCTTACTATAGATTTTTTGTTTTTATGGTCAAATTACTATGGGTAAAAACTTGATTTGATTGCAGTCATTAACAGTTAATACCTACGTAGCAGATCACCACGGTAATGGCTCTTTTTCTGATTTGATTTTAATTTTATTAGAAGAAAAATACAGTAAAACAAGATGCTATCAGAATTTGTGTTATGTGGAAGGTAATCTGTTTGGAATGTTTCTTTAGGATCTGTGTGGTTTTATGAATTTTATTGAGGTACACAGTGGAGAAGAGTAGCGTGTAAATAACAGAGCCAGAAAATGGCATAATTGTACCTTTTTACAAAAATATTTCATTTTGTTTTTTTTTTTTTTTTTCAACGTTTTATTTATTTCTGGGACAGAGAGAGACAGAGCATGAACGGGGGAGGGGCAGAGAGAGAGGGAGACACAGAATCGGAAACAGGCTCCAGGCTCCGAGCCATCAGCCCAGAGCCCGACGCGGGGCTCGAACTCACGGACCGCGAGATCGTGACCTGGCTGAAGTCGGACGCCTAACCGACTGCGCCACCCAGGCGCCCCTCATTTTGGTTTTTAACACTGGGTTTTAACACTTTCTAGTAGGAGCATAACTCCCATTGAATGTGTGTCTTTTCCTATTTTATTATATAATTAGGTAAAGTTGGATTTTTATTTAAATTCGTAAATATACGATATTACCATTATAGGGCTTGTCGCTGATACTGTTGGGTGATAAAGCCAGAATTCAAATTTAGATAATCTAAATGCATATTTCCCCTCATAACTCAACAGCAGTTAGCTGCTAAATTGTAGATGCTTAATACATATTTGGTAAATAGGTAAATCAACTAATCTTAAACTTTTTTTCTTCCTTAATGGGCAGAATGCATATGCTTCTTTGGGTCTGTGTTTAATAAGATCAGAAATTGGTAATTCCTATTCTCCCCCATGCGAGTTTAAGCTGGTTAAAATGCTTCTAATGGAATTTGTGAATTAAGAGGAACTGGGATAGAAAACGGTAGAAGTAGTGTGGGAGGAAAAATAAATGTGAAAAACATATCAAAATGTAACTGTTTTATGGTTATCCCTACTTTAAATTTTTTTATAGCAATTGATCACTTTTGCAGAAGAGGAGGTTTGCAACTTACTTCATACAGAAGCTCAGCCCTGTAAAGAAAAGAAAATTAATAGGAGGAAATCTCAGGAAAGCAAGCACACAGAAAGAGTGCGTCCTAAAAAGAACCAAGTAAGTGTGTGTTTAAACACATAATAAGAATAGAAGTGGTATGTTTCTTTGTTGTATGGTTAGGAAAGCATGGAAAGAAATTTTTTTCCAGTTAACATTGGACCGAGAGTATTAAAATCATCACAGAATAGAAAGGACCATAAGCAATTATGTACTCAGTTATAATTACCCGAGGACCGTTTTTGTATCTTCGTCATTGTGTTACGTACATTAGCCCAGTAAAACGCTGGCACTCAAATGTTAAGTTGATTTTTCCCTTTGAATCTGATCCAACCTCAGCCTTTGAGAGGATTCCTCCAATTTCTTAGACAAAGGTGAGTGGACCATCTGCCACTTGTGTGGCTTTGCTTCTGCCAGTGGCTGGCTCAATCTCTTCCCCATGTTTAAGGAAGAATTGAGAAACTGGCTCTGTGTCTTTCTCAACACTTCAAGGCCTGTGCTGGCTCAGGTGACGTCACTGTCTCGTCAGGGATAGCGAGTGCAGCACCTTAACCCAGTCACCAGACCCCTTTCGCTTGGGTGATCCGGACCTTCCTCTGCCACACCCCGCCCGCAGCTTGCTAGTACCCTTCCCACTTCCAGTAGTGCATGTTCTATGTCCCGTTCCCTGACCCCCGGCTGCCGGCGCATCCCGCCTCCTCATTCCCTTACTCACGTCCCTCGTCCGGTATCAGCGGTCTTCTGGCCCCTCTGTGTACCCTCCAGCAGGCAGGCATCCCGTCATCTCCTGTGTTTCCTGTTCGCCCCAAACTGCGTGAGCTGTTTCACCAGCTCTTGTCAGTAACCTCAGTTCTCTGCCCCTTTTCATTCCATTTCAACTCTGGATTAATCCATTATCCCCTCTCCCATCTAACACTGCTGCTGGAGAGACCCACACAGGTGCTCCTAAGGTAGAGTCATAGTTCCAGGTGTTACCTGAAGTCTGGTGTATCATTTTCTACCTCTTCCCTTTAAGTATTTTCCCAAGATATTGAGTAGCTTAGTAAGTAAAATCCGGGACAACCTGCCGCCTCAGCAGCGTTTGACATAATTGAGAGCGGCCTTTACAGTCTCTGTTAAAGGTTTATTTTCTTTCACCCACCCTTAGTTTGTATTCCCTAGAGTTCTACTCTTTGCCTTTCCAAATTGTATATTTTCTGGGTGATGTCCTAGGCAGCATGGTTGGTGCCTCCCAAATCTTTCTGATCTAGAAACATGTTGAGCAGCCTACTAGACTTCTCTTCTTAAACCATCCTGTAAGCACCTGCACTATCCACTTTTTGAAAACTAAAGTAACTCGCCAATATTACCCCAACACCCTCCCCCTGCAAAACAGTCAGTAAACTTCCATCCCGTTCCATTCAACAAAAACTGGCTTAAACACGGCCCAAACATCTGCCGTTTAGGAAAGCCAGGAAAAACTGGAAGTTTTCCTGGCTCAGTCCCTCTTTTAGGTCACACTCCATTGAGAGATCCCCTTGCTGAAAAAAATAAACCTAAGTTCATAAGTATGCATATACATCTTATATTATTGCATCAGAAATTGATTTTCTTCATACTCTTTAAAAAGCACTGTTACAAAGAATGTACGCATACTTCTTCACATAAAATCAATAGTCAGAAAGTTCAAGGAGGGTTGAGCAGTAAAGTTTGTTTCAACCCCTCTCGGGACCCCACAGAATCAAAATAATTGATAGAATCAAACGACTAGACTCAGAATAGCAGTGAGAAGAGGAAGGGAGGAGGGATATTACCCAACAGATGACAGCCTTCAGTGAATCTCTAGAAGACAGTGGATGATGGCACACTGACAGAAGAAAGAGGTAAAGTTACAGCCCAGAATGTGCTCAGAGGGAGCCAGAGAGCCATTAGGAGCCAGCTTGCCCATAGGGATCCCAGAAGACTCTGGGCCCAGTAAACAGAGTGGTGGCGAGAGTGGGAAACAGTAATGGAGACAGTCTGCACCAGTTAGCACCTCACCGCCTTCTCCCTCCTTGTTCTCCCATCCCAGGCTCCGAGCTGTCAGCACAGAGCCTGACACGGGGCTCAAACTCACGGACCATGAGATCATGCATAACCTGAGCCGGAGTCAGATGCTTAACCCACTGAGCCAAGTGCCCCTCATTTGGCCTTTTATTTATTTATTTTTGTTTTCAAGTTTATTTATTTATTTATTTATTGTGAGCCAATTTGACAATAAATTATATTAAAAAAAAAAAAAAGTATGTTTTCTAGTGCTAGGAATCCTCTACAGGAGGCACCCCAGGAGAGGAATACAGAGCGTTGTCCTTGGCAGAGCAATGAAAAACGTTTACACAGTCAGAACGTAAATGCTATTTGTTTTCAACTAAGGGCAAAGCTTTAAGAACTTGATTGTCATGCAAGACGATGATCCAAATGTAGCTACTAGCAGAAGGTGAGAAAGTGGGTAGAGAAGGTGGAAATGAGGGCATTAACATTACAGTAGAGGGGTTAACCGTGCAGGTTCTGGAGCAGACAACCTGGGTTCTAAATTCTGGCTTGACCACTTCCCACCAGTGGAATGGCGGGAAAGATTCTTGATTTCTCTGTTGGTTTTAAAATAAAGGCAAGAACGGTACATCGTTTGTGAGCTTCTTGTGTGCGTGTAATGAGTTAATACGTGTAAAATGCTTAGAACAGTGCCTGGCCATAGCAAGCACTATGGCTGTTAAAATCACATTCAGAACCTTGTGAGGCAAAATTTGAATTGGAAGTATCAGTTTGGACTCATGTCTTTTTTCTTTTCAAAAGATTTCCTGGCAGTGAGCACCTCTGACACCTAGATTGCCCTTTCTTTTCATCTCTTTTCTCTTCCTTCCTCTCTTTCTCTGTGTCTGTCTCTGTCTCAACCTCCCTTTCTCTCTCTTTCCCTTCCTTAGTTCCTTCCTTCTTAGTAGGGGAAGGGGCAGAGAGAGAGAGAATCTTTAAGCTGGCTCCATGCCCCGCCCAGAGCTGGACTCAGGGCTTGATCCTATGACCCTGAGATCATGACCTGAGCTGAAATCAGCAGTCGAAAGCTTAACTCACTGAGCCACCCAGGCACCCCTAGATTGCCTTTTTTTTTTTTCATGTTTATTCATTTGTGAGAGACAGAGACAGGGCAGGAGCTGGTGGGGGGCGGGGGAGAGGTGGAGGGCAGAGAGAGAGGGAGACACAGAATCTGAAGCAGGTTCCAGGCTCTGAGCTGTCAGCACAGAGCCCGACGCGAGGCTTGAACTCACGGACCGTGAGATCGTGACCTGAGCTGAAGTCAGACACTTAACCGACTGAGCCACCCAGGTGTCCCCCTAGATTGGCATTCCTTAATACCATTTTCAGCTAACATTGATCAAGTGAAATGGCTGCTCTCAGATTTCTAAACAGCACTTGTAGGAAATGAGCCTGGGTCTGTACCAGTGTCCAACGAAAGAAGCTTAAACCACTGGGGCCACGAGAAAGGACACCAGACTGCCTCAAAGGGGCTCCACTGACCAAAAGTGGGACAACGTGACTATCAGACAAAAATTGCAGTGGATTGAAACACAGACTTCAAATCTGAAAAAAACGCTTCATAATAGTTAAAAAATCTCAAAAGTCACCTTGGAAGCTGTCTAGGACACCCACTCCTTTTTGTGAAAACTGGAAAATAAGTTCAGGTGAACAAATAGTTGATGAGGTAAAGTTATTTATAGGAGAATTTCTACCATTAGATAAAAACACATTCGTGAAAGTTGTTAATCATTAGATGGAAGGCTGGTGGAGGGGCATAATGGGTGCATTGGACTGAACACCTGAGCCCACTGGTCAATCACAGTGTCACAAGACAGAGAATATGGGCCTTCCAGTGCAATGAGGAAGTCTAGAAGTATCCATGAGATGCTCTTTTCAAAAAACAAAACAAAACAAAAAAACAAAGCTGAATCTAATCAAGCCTAGATCTATCTAATGACCAATTTTTTAGGAAGTATAGGAGGTAGAGGAAACTCAAGACACCATGATTGCAGTCAACCAAATCCAGAGTTTGGCCAAGTCTACTGGACCGATGCCTCAGCTTATTCATCAAATAAATGGCAAGGGAAGAAAGAAAGAACCATAGATTAAAAGAGATCTGTCAACAAAGCAAATGTGTGAAGACCTTTTTGGGATCCTGATTTGAACAGTTGTAAGAAGACATTTATGGGCCAATTAGAGAAATTTGATCTCCGAGGAAATGAAATATTAGGGAAAATTGTTGTCTTTGTTCTTTGTGTTTAAGCTGTTTATTTTGAGATCATTTTAGATATTTATACTGTTGTCACAAGAATTACGGGGATCTCCCAAGTACCCTCTGCCCAGTTTTCCCCAATGACAACATGTATAACTTGTGCAGTGTCACGTAGGAAAATATCAACCCAGTCAAGATACAGAGGATTTCCATCGCTACAGGGATCTCTTCTTGCCATTTTGTAGTTCTGTCTACTTTCCCCATCTTGACTGGCAATTGCTAATCTGTTCTCCATGTCTGTAAGTTTGTCAGTTTGGTAATGTTACGTAAATGTAATCACACTCTGTGTAACTTCTTGGGAGTGGCTTTGTTTTTTCACTCAGCACAGTTCTCTGGAGATTTGTCCAGGTTGTTGTGTGTATGAGCCCTTTATTGCTGAATGGTAGTTGTTATTATTTAAAAAGTAATCCTTTTGCAATATATACATACATCGTCATTACATAGTATACCTTAAACTTACATGTTTTGTGTCAGTTATGTCTTAAAAAGTTGGGGGGGGTGTGGTAAAATTGCATTGTAAAAGGAAAATGTCAACAATAAAATACAATGCTAGGTAATCAAAGACTTCACTTTATTCTGGAAAAAAAATAAAGGGAGCTCTTATCTCTTACAGATACTATAGGATTTTCAGATGAAAGGAGGTAATGTGTGGGATTTGCTTTAAAAGGATCTGAGGGGGGCGCCTGGGTGGCGCAGTCGGTTAAGCGTCCGACTTCAGCCAGGTCACGATCTCGCGGTCCGTGAGTTCGAGCCCCGCGTCAGGCTCTGGGCTGATGGCTCGGAGCCTGGAGCCTGTTTCCGATTCTGTGTCTCCCTCTCTCTCTGCCCCTCCCCTGTTCATGCTCTGTCTCTCTCTGTCCCAAAAATAAATAAATAAATAAATAAAAAATAAAAAAATAAAAGGATCTGAGGGAAGGGGATTATAAATGAATCCTGATACCTGTTAGTAATTGTTGAAGCTAGATGATGGGTACATGGGGTTCAATATACTGTTCTCTCCACCTGTTGTGTGTTTGAAATTTTCCATTATAGAAAGTTAAAAACAGCAGGAGCCTCTTATTTAGAAAGATGGAGCTAGCCGTAAGAACTAAAAATGGAACCAATAAGTAAACAACAGGGATAAGGAAGTGTGTGCTTCTCATCATAAGCTTTCCTGTACAATTTGATTTGTTGCCGTGTACGTGAATTCTGTATACTTTTGATTTAAAAAAATTGTTCTAAGTTTATTTATTTGTTTTGAAGAGAAAGAGACAGCGCAAGTGGTGGAGGGGCGGGGGGTGGGGGTGGGGGGGAGAGAATCCCAAGCAGGCTTCACAGGACTGTCATTGCAGAGCCCAGTGTGGAGCCCAAACCCACGAAACCGTGAGATCGTGACCTGAATGGAAACCAAGAGTCAGACATTTAACTGACTGAGCTACTACTCAGGCACCCTATATATACTTTTTAAATGTTTATTTTTGAGAGAGAGAGAGAGAATATCTAAAACAGGCTGTGTGCTGTTGGTGCAGAGCCCAACGCGGGGCTCGAACTCACAAACCATGGGATCATGACTTGAGCTGAAATCAAGAGTTGGATGCTTAACCGACTGAGCCACCCAGGTGCCCCATGAATTATTGTTATTATTTTTTAATTTTTATGTATTCATTTTTATGTCATTTATTGTCAAGTGAGCTAACATACAGTGTATACAGTGTGCTCTTGGCTTTGGGAGTAGATTCCTGTGATTCATCACCTACAATACCCAGTGCTTCTCCTAACACATGCCTTCCTCAATGCCCATCACCCATTTTCCCCATCCCCTCAACCCCCTACCCCATTATCCCTCAATTTGTTCTCTGTATTCTAAGAGTCTCTTATGGTTTGCCTCTCTCTCAGTTTGTAACTATTTTTTTCTTTCTCTTCTCCCATGGTCTTTTGTTAAGTTTCTCAATTTCCACATATGACTGGAAACGTGTCTCTTTCTCTGACTGACTTGTTTCACTTAGCATAATACCCTCCAGTTCCATCTACATCGTTGGAAATGGCACGATTTCCTTTTTTTTTCATTGCCAAGTAGTACTCCGTTATATATATGTACATACCACATCTTTTTTTCCAAATAATGTTTAGCTTTGAAGGAGACAGAGCGTGAGCGGGGGAGGGGCAGAGAGAGAGGGAGACAGAATCTCAGGCAGGCTCCAGGCTCCAAGCTGTCAGCACAGAGCCCTACGCGGGGCTCGAACTCACAAACTGCTAGATCATGACCTGGGCCAAAGTCCAATGCTCAACTGAACTGAGCCACCCAGACGCCCCTATATACCACATCTTAACCCGTTCATCAGTGAGTGGACATTTGGACTCTTTCCATACTTTGGCTATTGTCGATAGCGCTGCTGTAAACGTTGGGATGCGTCTGCCTCTGTGAATCAGCATTTTTGCATTCTTTGGATAAATTCCTAGTAGTGCTATTGCTGGGTCGTAGCCCATGAATTCTTTTCAAATAATTTTAAAGCTACTCACAGGAAGCAACTTAAGTACCTGTGCAAACAGTAAGTTTCTGCTTCCGTGTCGAGACCTCCTTTACTATCTGAGACGAAATACTGGTGATTCTAAAGTAAACGAAGTCACTTTGGGGGTCCATATCTTCAGTTGTCCTTTATCTGCTTCAAGTCACAAACCATCCTGTTTGCACATTAATGTCTTCCCTAAAATTCCAGCCACAGGTGACTTTGCTGTTACCATATAAGCAAGGCTTTTGTATTGGAGTAAAATTGAATTTTGTTACGGTTCCAGCCTCTGCAGGTAAGCTAGGCAGTGCTAGACGTGTGTCCCCGACAGAGCACAGGTGCTTTAGCCTTTAGTCCTGTCTTTGGGCGCTGCACCTCTCTTGGCCCGTGACCATGAGAAAGCTATCATCACGTGTAGCAAATTTTACGAAGTTTACCTATACCTTTTCTTCTACATTTATTCATTTTGTTCATACCTGTTTGTTGGGAAGTCGTTACGTGTCAGGCAGCGTTGCAGGGACTGAAGACATTTTATGTAGACAGAGATGGCCCAAATCCTGCCAACAGGGTATTTTTTGTACCTATGAATCAGAAACTGTTTTAGAGGTCATAACCAGGTGACATTGACTGTAGCGTATTCACTGACTGTGTAAGGCCTGTGTCTGTCACACTGTAATACCAAGCATAATTTGATACTAAAAATATTCTCCCCCGTGTCAATTCTCTTCATACCAGGAAGGAATTTAAAAGATCAAGAATGGCTGACACATAGCTCTTTTCTGTGTATGGATCAAGCCTTATTTTAACCATTTCATTTATGTTAACTCAGCGCTCACCACAGCTTTCTGTGGCTCCCGTTTTGCAGAGGAGAATGAGGTACAGAGAGGTGGGGTGACTTGCCTAAGATCATAGGGCAGGCAGGTGGCAACGTCAGGCATCCGGCACCGAAGGCCATCTGTTCTCTTTTGCAGTTCCTCTGTGGAGCCCGAGATTTTTCTCCTGGTTTCCACATCCACTGACCAAGCTTTCATTTCCCCAACTGTCCCACGGAATGTCGACAGATGTTCCACAGAAATAAATTTTCCGTGGAAAAATAGTTAACCCGGTATTTTCCTGATGTGTATAGAGATTATTTATACTGAGGGACTTCTCAGAGAATTTAATGGTAAATATATATTGCAAATCACCAAGAGGAACATTTATCTTGTACAGTTCTAAAATTATTTTTCCATGGAATGTTTTATTTTGTTTTGTTTTTACAGGATATCTATAGATCTCTCAAGGAACATGCAGTTCTGTGCCATTTTTGTACTCTTGAATATCATCCATCACATCATTAGTTTCTATATTTTCACCCAAATGATCTTTCTTTAAATGTAAAATCGAATGTTGTCACTCCCTGAGTCACTGTGCAGTTAGCTTTCATTGTTTTCAGGCTCCTATTCATTGCATATAAGGGCCTTGCCTGCTTTGTGGAGCAGTGTTAAGCCTTCTGGAGGCCAGGGACCCATCTCAGTCCATATAGAGTCTGACATCGTGTATATGTATCAATAATAGTTACTTGCTGTTCGATGGTGAGCCCCCTAAAGACCACATCCTGTTTTTGTATCTTCTACCTAGCAAGTCATTACCTGCACAGAGTGGTTTCTCAATAAATGTTTCAATGGATTCCATTTTCTGGACGCTTTAATTGCTAAAAACACATTCCTTATGTTAACCTAAAGTCTGGTTCTCTCCAATATGATCGCATTGAGTGTATTTCTGTTTGCTCATAATAATCTATTATTTCAACACAGTGTTTGAGTTTCCCTGAGGTCTTCTCCATGTGAAGCTTTTTTTTTTTTTTAACAGAGAACATTAATTCTCACTTGCTAATATGGCAGTCAAAACTGAATTCAGTACTGCATTCCGGATATTATTAGAACAGTTTTAATTTGTATAGAAACCCACGTGTTTTCCACCAGTTATTACCATTCCTTTGTCCCTCTTCTTCTACTTATGCTTGTTAAAACCCATCTTATTTTTGACCTATTCATTTTTTAATGTTTTTTTATTATTTATTTTGAGAGAGATAGCAAGTCGGGGACGGGCAGAGAGAGGAGGAGACAGAATCCCAAGCAGGCTCCACACTGTCAGTGCAGAGTCTAACATGGGGCTCGAACTCATGAAGTGTGAGTTCGTGACCTGAGCCAAAACCAAGAGTAGGACTTTAAACCGATTGAGCCACCCAGGCACCCCTTGACCTATTCATTTTAATCTTGATTATTAATGTTTGAAGCAGCTCAGCCAGCTTTGTGTTATCTTTCACTTTTACGTAACCTTTATGTACATAACTATTGTTTCTTCATCTAAGCGTGTGAGCAGAAAACAGCCCCTCATAGGTTCTAGTAGATAAGTCATTCTAGGCTAATCCTGAGTCATCCTAACGATAGCCTAGCTACACCTATCTCCTGTCTTAAGTCTGTCAACTCGATAGCATCTAATCTTTTACTTACGCAGAACTTGCTTGGGCAAATGTTTTATGGAAACGTAGACCGTTAGTTATCATATAGTTTGTAAATTGAGTTCTTTATATTTTATTTGACTTTGTGTAAGCTACCGAGCCCTCCATGCCTGACTCAGATTTCTAAAATTTTCAACGGAATAACTGGTCTCAAGTTTTTCTGTACAAATTAAAGGCTCAAAATTGTATACGGCGTGACATCTTTCTCAATTACTGCGTCTTAATACATCTTCACAGGCTTTAAAAAGTTGCAGAAAGAAGAAAGCAAAGGGAAAGAAAAGTATTCAAAAGTCTTTATATGGGGAAAGAGACATCGCTTCCAAGAAGCCGCTCCTAAGTCCTATTCCCGAGCTGCCTGAGGTCTCGGAGATGACGCCTTCCGCCCCAAGCACCGGAACGATGCATTCAGGTATCTTGTTCTTCTCCTGTTTAGGTTTTATCCTCTCCACCACCTTGTCCCCCTTTTCCCATTCACTGTGTAAAGAGCATACAAATAAAAATAGCAACTTTCCCAGCGATTTTAAAAATCGCTGTCTTTGTCAGTCATCAGATATGTGTCGCCTGCATTCCATTTGCAGCGTACCTATAGGATTTATAATAGATTCAAGGATGAATAAGGTATATGCCACCCTAAGACTGTTGGCTTCTGCCTACTTCGGAACTTCAGGAAAGCACAGAAGTTAAACGGACACAGCTACCTCCAGCCCCAGCTCCTTGATGTGGTACATCCTGGGTCAGGGGTTGGCAACCCCACCTCTTTTTAATCTGGCCTAATGCTGCTCATCCTTTAAGATTTAGCCGTGCTGGCTGCTTTTCCAGGAAAGCTCTTTGTTCGCATTACACCTTTACCATCTAGCGTATATGTTCTGTCTGCCTCCCTCTCCTGCAAACTGTGGTCTCCCTGAGACTGAAAACTAAGTCTTATTTTCATTGTATCTCCAGTTCCTGACAGGAGTTTTCCCAAAGATGTTTAAATAATGACTGTTAGTATAGGTTTTCTGTTTAGAATCTTATTAGATCATTTCTTTTTAAAAATACCTGAAGCATTTTTTTTTTTTGTCTATAACCAGTGGTATCATGTGTTGAAAGGGTTTAAAGCAAATCTTCCCTCCCTCCCTGTCCCTTTTTCCCTGCCCCTTTCTCTCTCTTCCTCCCTCCCCCGCCTTTCTTCTCTAGTCTGTCAGTTTCATGAAAAAATACATCAACCTCAACTTTTAAAGTTGTAGAAAGAGCCCAACTGACATGATTTGGTTGCCACCGAGTGGACCCTACGATAATCTCTAGCTTCTGTGACCTGACGTTGAGTACCCATGTCCTGGATACATACCTTTTCAAATTGAAATACTTGTAGCTTTTTGGCTCAGCTGACGTTTTATAGATACTAACAGTTTTGAGTTTCGTTTAAAACATTTTTTACATTCATTGGCTGGCCAATTAAAACCCTTACTCCCTGAGATAACAAGAGAGATGGCATCCAATAGTACTGAAGTTTAGAACACTGAAACTCTGAATTTATTTCAGCTGTGTTCCATAGCTTTAAAACCTTGATGATGTTTTTCCACCTGTGTGATGTGTAACCCAATGCGCCAAAAATGCAGGACACCCTCCACATGGCATATCTTCCTGGAGGATGACTTTTAGTCGCACTGAGGTGGAAGGTAGAATACTGTAACAAACATAGCGCTATTTGAGAGTACGGTGCAGTTTTTATTAATTTTTTTAACACAGGGCATAAGACCTGAGTGTCTTTAAAAGTAGCCTTCTAGCTAAATCCACAACACTCCCAAAATTCCAAGTTTTCTTTTCCCTCTCTTTCAAGGGAAACATTACTAGAAAAGTTTCAGAAGCATGGCGGTGCCTGTTTTCAGTAATTCATTTTTCGGGAAATGGGAAACATGGCTGCCTCATGCTAATTGACCTTGTAGTGTGGAAAGCACATTAGAATAGAGGAAGCGATTTGAGATACACTTCTCATTTTCATGGTCTGAGGTCATGTACTTTATTCATTCACATATTAAATACATATTTTCTTAACCTGTGGCTTGGGGAAGAACTGAAAGAGAAAGAGCTTGATGCCAGATGGGGGCAGGTACAGTGTCGCATTTGTGGGTCTTGCTAGTTTTGAAAGCTTAAAACACAGAATACAGTATGGCACCTGTTTGATTTGTCAACATTTATTTCCACTGTTACTTTTTCCCCCGAGATGTAAACTTATTTCCACACCCCTAGATGATTTCGACTCCAGTGGTGAACTTCAAGCAGCAAAGCTTCCTCAAAGGAAGCCTCAGAAGCCAGATTTGCAGATGAGTCAAGGTTTTAATAAGTACGATCTGTCTGCACTCTGCAGCTCTCACACCAAACGTTCCTCGCCGCTTATTAACGCTACTTTAGAGCAAGATTTAGATATAAATACCGTAGAAGCTAGTAAACATAAAACTCTTCCAAGAGCGGAAATTAAGTCAGAAAGTGAAAATGACCTGAAAGCTGGCTCTGAGAATGAGAGCAGTCGTGTTTCCTGTGATTCTGTGACCGCAAAGGGCCCGGCATCCGATGATGCGGGATCCAGTATTATCCTGCCGTCCCGGGAATTGGCTGCCGCTGGCCAAAATGTGGAAAACCTTTTTCAGATCTTTAAAATTTCAGAAGATGTGAACATAAAGTATGAAAAGCAGGATGACTCTGTTATAGCTCCAGAAGGGAAACCGCCGACCACACGTGTAATGTCTGGCTTACAAAAAGACGTCTTCCTTGACAACATGAAAGAAAGTACAAATCCGAGCGAGGGTTCGGGAAGCAGCTGCGCAGAGAGTGAAAGCACTGGTACGAACGGGGGAGGAAAGAAGCATAGAAGACGTTCTATGTGTTACTCTGGCGGCCAGAGTTTCGATTCGGAAAAAAACGGAAATCCCAAACCTCCCTACCTGGTGAGCAGCCCTGTAGAAATTGGTTTAGAAAATTCTGAACTCTATAAAGATTTATCTGACTCCATAGAGCAGACCTTTCAGAGAACGAGTAGGGAAACAAGAGTAAGACGGAGCACCAGGCTGCAGAAGGATCTGGAAGAGGAAGGGCTCGTCTGGATCTCACTTCCATTTCCTTCCGCTTCCTGCACTTCCCAAAGAATGAAAAGGAGAACAATATGCACAGTGGACAGCAGAGGCCTTGAAAGCGTGGCCCTCTGTAAAGACCCCAGGTCTTCTGGACACACCCCGAGCACGGCACCCGCCGTGTCGGGTAAAGACAGGGAGGGCTTGGCCGCCAGTGCGGCCAGTTTACCTGGGAGGAGGAGGAAGAGCTTGTGGACGTCCGCACCCGTGAACACGAAAGGTCCCATTCTGGCAAAATGCTGCAAGAGAAGAAGCTCTCTCCCCCAGAGCGGAGAGAGCTCTCTAAGGGACGTCCAAGGAGTCGGGCACGTCGGGAACTAAAGCCGGTAACTGGCATTTCCTGAAGGACGTTCGGGGCCGCAGAGAAGGTAAACCCCCCCCCACCCCATGCTCAGAACATTTCTTTCACCCCGCCTCTCCTCCCCTGTTCAAAGTTTCAAATAAAATCATTTGACTTGAACCTCTCTGTAAGTAGAAGTAAGTGGGATTTCTTCATTCAAAAAGAAGACATTCTCTTAAATCTGTTCTTCTCTCCGCAAATAGCACGTTTGCTGAAGGTTTCTCGCTAGTACGTGTTGACTGTTTCCGTTGGGAAACAAAATTTGTCTCTTGAAATTGACTCATTGTGTCTAGATGAGAAGACCTGAAAAAACAGATTGATAAATGGAATTTTATGAAAATTGAAGGGTGATACAAGGTTAAAAACTGCCAGGAAATGAGAAAAGATGTGTTTTTAAAATGTTGCAGAAAAAGCTGGTTAAAAATCTTTATCCATTAGGGAAGATGGAAATCATAAGACTTTTTTGTTGGTTTAAAATTAAGAAGCTTTAATGACTTGCTTCGTCTATCTCAAATGAATATTTTTATATTAATAGGTTAAAATCAAAATTGGAAAATTCATTTAGTAACCAGAATATTACAAGTCAAACATTATAAACTGAATTTATAGTCTATAAATAACTAAGGTGAAAATATTTTGTCTTTCAAACAAGATTCTTACATGCCCTGTGGGGCCGGAGGTGCAGGATTGGTTTTGGGGGAGAATAGAGCAGTGTAGTTGAATCATCCTCCAGATCATTCCAATTAGTCACATTTAGGATTTATTCCAAGAGATCCCAAATTAGTAATTTGGTATTTAATTCATGCTTCTCCATTAAAAAAAAAAAAAAATTTTTTTTTTTTTTTAAATCTAGAAATTTCCTACGAAAGGGCCTTGGAAAATTTGTTTACTAACATGAAGCATGGTGGTAGGTGGCCGATTTCTTTTTTAACGTGGTGTTTTGCCAGCAGTTTTCTGCATTTCACGATGTCGAGTACCATCCCTGGTCTCGGATTCTCCAGTTACATTTCAGCAGTATCCTCCGCTGTTTTGATGACAGCAGTTTGAAAATCTAAATTGCCATATATCTGGAATTTGGGAGTGCGCATAAATCATTGTATCGTTAAACAATTGTCTTTGAAATCCTCTAAATCATTAAACTCTCCCTCTCCATGATAGCAGAAACATGTTAACAAATAGAGCGCTCTATAAATAACACAACAGGGAAGAAAGCTCCCGCTGAGTGCCCATTTCCCCTGCCTTAGATACAGACTATTTGTTACCTTCTTGGCACCAATAGGTCTGGAACTCCTGCTGCTAAAGACTAAATGTATTTTACATTAACACTCAAAGTGATCCCCAATTTCTTCTGCTAAAGGGTGGATTGTTTAAAAAATTCTTTTATCTTTACACATAAATTATTTATGGGCTTTCCCCCCTCCCCCCCCGCATTATAGTTTGGTATGGTTGGCAAATCTCTACCAGTGAAAACAAACCAAAAAATACGAAAACAAAAACAAAAAATCTACTTACTACTTATGAAGCTTTTCGGTCTTGGTAATTTAAAAAGAAAAAAAAACTTTCAGAACCATACGATGTGAAGGGTTTTTAAAAACTTGTTCTCCTTTGTCGAATGTGAAGGCTATAAAACTACTGATTGTTATTTTCTCCTTTTTACTGTAGGTATGATCTCTGTTGTATTTGAATTTGAAGAATTTCACATGCTTTGTTTTATTTCTCAAAATGTGCTAATGATCTGTGGCGGGTTTTGGCTTGAGTTTTCAAATGTAAAATTATTGTTTTGTAGCATCTCCATTTAAAAATATACATACTTTACAAGTTTTGTTGGTTTCAGAATGTTTCAGCGTAACTGTCTTGTTGATATTTGTAAATAACAAAGAGGAAGTTTTCCTAAAAAAGAAGAGGTCTGAGAAACCAAAGCAATTTGGACTGATTTTATCCACTGTCTCATTTGTAGCCTACGTTTTGTGAGGAGTTAATCATTTCAAATTAAGTATTTGTTCCTGCTTGCTTGTTTTTAGCTATTTCTTTCATTAATGGCTAAATCAGAAACAGGGCTTCAGTAGTTTGTCCTTGCCTTGTCTTTTACTGCAGTAACCCTTGACATTTTGGCTTAAAAAGTCCGTGAATCTTTCCCTGCTGCTGTAGATCCTTGTTTGTTCCAGAAGATGGCAGCATGACATCTGGATACATTACCTTTAAAGCCCAGGCAGCCCTTCATTGTTGTTGCGGGTGTTTCTCTTTAACTGTTATTTTCACTCATTCTTATCACGCGAGTACTATGTGTCTAGTGAAGAAAGTAGAGAACTGTACGCAATTAAATACTGTTCATTCCCCTGGTGCAAGCATCCTACAGCCACACCTTCCTCTTCCCAGCTTTCTGTGTAAACACCCTTAACAACTGGCCCTTAAGTCTTCCAGATCTTTGCCTGTGTAAACACGAGTATAGGTTTTGTTGTTTTCCGATGGGCTCACTGTACTGTGCCATTCTGCAGCTGAATTTTTGTATTCAACAAAATACCCAGTACACTTCGGTGTTAGCACGGAGATCCTTAGCTCTCCTTCAGTTGTATCTTCTGAATATCTAGTATTTAGTTAGCCGTCCGCTTCCTAAAGGATGCTAGTTGTCTCCACTTTATTGTTACTGAAAATAATGCCACAGTGGGCTTGTGTGAAAACGTCCGTAAGGTAAATTCCTTGAAATTAAAACTAAATGGGCATCAAGTTACGTTCTGTAGTTCATACCTGATAAAGTCCTTTTATGAGGATTTTGGCATCAACCCTTACCTTCTGTTAGACTCTTCTCCTGACGCTTTAATGCCACTTTGCTTCCATTTTCTCTCACTGCCCCCACTGGCACGTAAGCTGTGGCATTGAGGGTGAGGAATGCCTCATTCATGCTTCAGATTGAAAGAACTTTTTTTTTTTATGTTTATTTTATTTTTGAGAAAGAGAGAGAAGGGCAGAGAGAGAAGGAGACACAGAATCAGAAGCAGGCTCTAGGCTCTGAGCTATCAGCACAGAGCCCGACGCGGGGCTGCAACCCACGAACTGTGAGATCATGACCTGAGCTGAAGTCAGACGCTTAACCAACTGGGCTACCCAGGCACCCCGAAGGAATTTTTTTTGAAGTCCGGTTTATTGAAGTGTAATTAACTGTAGTAAACTGCAGTGAAGCTTACCTTTTTTAAATGCACAGTTTGAATGTTGGCAAATTCATGCTGTCATATAACCGCTACCAGAGTTAAGTAACGGTACACTTCCATCACCCAAGAAGACTTCCTCTTACCTCTTTGTGGTCAGTCCTCCTCCCTCAACCCCTTATCGGATTTCTGTCCTTTGTCTAGTTTTGCTTTTTCCACACTGTCCTATAAATAGATAGAAGAGTTCTCTCCTTTTGGATCTGTCCTTTTGGAAATTTAGCAGAATGCTTTAGATGTTCATCCATGTTTGATGTCCTAAGTACTTGATTCCTGTTTATTGCTAAGTAGTATTGTTTAATGGATGTACCGAGGTTCTTTACTCATTCACCAGTCAATGGGTATTTGCATTGTTTGGTTTTAGACTATTACAAATAAAGCTGCTATAAACATTCACATGTGGATTTTTTTTTTTTTATATAGACATGTTTTCATTCCTCTTGGGTAAATACCTAGGAGTGGGGATTCCTGGCATGTATGGTTGCGACATGTTTAACATTTTGAGAAACCGCCAGGCTTTTCCACAGCGGCTGCACCTCTGTGTATTCTCACCTGTAGCACGTTCGGTGCTCTGCATTTTCACCAGCACCTGATGTCGCCTGCCATTTCCATTTAAGGCCTTCCGATATCTGCACGGTAGTAGCTCGTTGTGGTCTTGATGTATATTTCCCTAACGACTAGTGATGTAGAACATCCCTTTTTGGGTTTACTTGCCATCCTTGTATCCTCTTTAGTGAAGCATCTATTCACATTTCTTGCCCACCTTTTTTTTTGTAGCTGTTGGTGTTTTCCTACTGAGTGAAAGAGTTCTGTGTATATTTGGATACAAATTCTTTATTGGCTATGTGTCTTGCAAATATTTTTTTCCCCGCTCCGTGTCTTGCTTGTCTTTATTTTCTTAGCAGTGCCTTTTAACTCTGGTGTAATCTAAGTTAGCAGTTGTTTTTTTTTTTTTCTTTAATGGTGCATGCTTTTTGTGTTTTATGTAAGAAATCTTCGCCTAATTTAAGAACGCAGGGATTTTCTTTAATTTTTTTCTAGAAGTTTTACAGTTTTAGCTCTCAGGTATTAGATCCACTTTAATTTTTGTATAGCGTGTAAGGTGAGGGTTTTTTTTGTTTCATTTTTTTTTTAATTTTTTTCATGTTTATTTATTTTTGAGAGAGAGAGAGAGAGACAGAGCATGAACAGGGCAAGGGCAGAGAGAGAGGGAGACACAGAATCCAAAGCAGGCTCCAGGCTCTGAGCCATCAGCCCAGAGCCTGACACGGGGCTCGAACTCCCGAACCACAAGGTCATGACCTGAGCCAAAGTCGGATGCTTAACCAACCGACTGAGCCACCCAGGCGCCCCTGTTTCATTTTGTTTTTAATGGAAATTATTAACCATTTCTTGAAAAGATTATGCATTCTTCATTGAACTTCAGTGACACTTTTGTTAAAATTGGTTGACCTTATATGTGTAGATCTATTTCTGGACCTTATTCTGTTCCATTGATCTGTGCGTCTGTTCTAAAACCAGCATCACAACCTCTTGATTACTATGGAAAGCTTTTTATGTTTGTGTCTCTTACCACGTTTTTTTGTGGGGTTTTTTGGTTTGTTTTGTTTTTGTTTTTGTCCTAGTTTATGTTTCAAGTTCTTTTGGTGAGGGAGGCCGGTAGAAGGAAAAGATTGACCTACCAATACTACCTGTAGCCTACAATTATACCCAGACCTGCAATACCATTTGGAGCAAAGAATCCATAATAAGCTATCAGAAATGTGGGAAGGAAACCAACT